TAACAATATTTGACCTTGAAGAATATATTCGAAATACAAATAAAAACACTATAGTACCATTACATACCCAAATAAGGTAAAATAAGTAAAGTCGTCGAATGGTCTTCGTCCTTAGACCAAAAGAGGTCGGCAGACCCAATGTCATGAGATTATCTCAAATGTTGTGACTTACAGGTTGAGCACAAGAATACAACTCGGCCGGGCGAACTAAGAAGTGGTGCTGAATCGATCGTTATAATAAAAGGTGGATACATATCAAGCCATTGTTGCTGTTGTACGCATCCTCACAAACTTAACATGCCGTTGTGGGGCAACTAGTGCAAGGTATAAAAATTCACTACGCTGAACTACGAATACTTTTTAATCACTTTATTTTAATTTGATCTATTACTGCCAACCTTTGCTTTGGAAGTTACTTAAAGTAAACAGAAGAATATACATTTTTCGAGGCAAAGTTTAGATATTCTTTTAGTCACTCTACTTTTTGCAAGGCGCTTTTTTGCCTATTGTAATGAAAATGCGGTGAATGAAATCAGTATAAAGCAAAAAAAAAGGGATCTACAGCTTCAAAAAAAGGGAGGGCTAGAGCAAGAGCTTGAGCGGCTAGAGCCGCCAAACGAAAGGGTATGAAAAGATAAGCAATCAATTCATCTAAAGTATGACCTTGGCAATGGACTGATCCATTGATCCATTAACGAAATTGCCGAGTTTTAGAAATAATTGCTCACCATTTCCAAAAAACCATTTACAACGCAGTTTACATATTTACTAATATTAATAGAATTTTTCAGCGAACTTTGTACATTTCTGAAATTTATACTAGAACTGGACGAAAAGATAGCGGAAACCTAGTTCCAGTTGTTACAAATAGTATAACGAAATTAATGCACAATACTTGTTGTTGAGGGCATAAAAGAACTCATAACACAGAGCAATAAACTTTTATGAATCTTTTATCCACTTGCTGTACAGAACTTGAGACAGAATAAAAAGCTTTTCTCTAACAACAACTACTAATGTAATCAATTTACTGAGAGAACAATTTGAAATTAACTCAATTGAAAGCATATTGAGGTAGGACATGACAAAGGAGACAAATATAAATATATACATATATATATATATATATATTAATAATTATTATAATATGTACATAATATTAAAATTAAAATCAATGCATAAAATAAATAAATTTTTATTCTCTTCTCGTTAAGATTCTTTCTCTTAAATCGCACGCAATCCTTAGTCTCTCTCTTTACATTTGCTAAGCAGCAGAAAAGCTATCTCATCTACATGCATATATGACATATGCACTGGAATAAATTATAAAAAGGGAATATATATAATGTGTATGTATGTAAAGTATATATGAATGTAAAGAAGTGTAAATATTTTTGATTCTATTAATGCATTCGATACACAACCACCTAAAGGGAAATCAAAAAGCAATTTTTACAATCGAGTAATCGTTTCATTTATTATTTTAGATTTATTTGATTAAAACATCTTTTGGGTTTTAAAGGCACAAAAAAATAATATGTTACTAGGACGACTACCGCTGAATGCATGAAGGAACAAAAATATCTATGTATCTACCCAATAGTAATGTATAACTGCATATACTTGCATATGTATATATATATATATAATCGGCAAGTAAATGCTTGCAACTGCGTAAATATAGAATGTTCGAGAACGACGCAGATGACCTTGCAATTATTTATAGAAAGTTCTGGAAAGTTAAATGTGGGAAAATATCCTCGAATCCTTTGTTTTTTCTTTTTCGTTATTGTTATTGTTATTGTATTCTCTTTCCTTCTCGTTTCATGCATATATATATATGCATATATGTGCATACGTAAATACAAATATATATATATATATATATATATATGCGCGCGCGTGTGTGTGTGTTTCTTTTCTAATATTTACTTTTATACACACATTGTAATTCCAAGTGTCAACAACCGCCGGTTGCCATGAATTTACCGCATTATACAATTTAATACAATTGTGCGTTTAGGTATATATATCTGTGTGCCTTTTTTTATATATTCGATATATATTTGCAACTACGTAGAACTATGACAACACAGTAGCTAAGCTTATTTATAATAGAAGTTTCTGTGGCTTTGAAAAGTGGCCTTTAAGCGAATAGTGACTCAAAGCAGAAACGAGGTACATAAAAAACAGTTGGAAAATAAATCGATGGTTAATTTTAAACTGCAGTTATTTGCTTTTGTTTTTGTTTTTCTATTTATATCGAAAGCGACTAAACCGTGTCCAATCGTCCATAACAAAAAAATCATTAAAAAAAATTTTTTTTAAATAATTTCTTTTTCCATTTATATAAGAAATGCTGGAAGGTCTTCTTATAGGAAGTGTACAATATTCATTGGACCTAGGATTCACCGTACAAATTGATGGTGAATTAAAATATTGACCGATTTGATTGAATAGTCTTTGCAAACATATATTTTTAGAAGGTGTTATCATAAAACACTGTGCCAATCAAGAAGAAATGAATCCGAATTTATGAAAAATTCAAGTCAAGGTCAGTAGGAGTGTAGCTCGACTCTTACTTTTACTATGTATTAAGTTACTTTTTTTTTGACTCGACTTGATTCACAGAATAACTAAAGCTTTCCTCAAATAAATTCATTTTTCATCTATAAGGATAGAAGTGACTTTGCTTATTCGAATAAAACCAGTTGATTTTGTTCCTTCCATTCCGAATTGAGAATACCGATCGGTGATCGGTGACTCACTCTTGCAGCAGTGTAAAGTACTGAGTCGGTTAATCTGTATCGGCGGACATTTACCCGTTAAGGTAGCCGCAAGCACTAGAAAAACTTAAAAAACCAAAGACGCAAAACATTTTCGACAATAATTTTTAAACTAATTTCTTGTTCTCTATATATATGTATATATACATATATATATTTTCAAACTTCGATCTTCGGTTTATGCACTTAAGAATTCCAATTTCCTTATCAAGTTCAGCATAAATATTTAGTAGAGTTTTTTAAACGTTCTCAACACATCCACCGGCATAATCAACAAAAAAATGATGCAATTTTCTCGCATTCGCCTCAGATAAAAAATATAAGCGATTTGTTTCAAGACAAAAGTAGCTCCTTCTTCCCCTTTCCCTTCTACGGAAAGGCAAGGGACAAATTTTAAATAGAACCTTATACCTGATGCATCATTATACCAACACATCTTCAAGACGGACGCATAAAAGAAATTTTTCCTTATGACTCCAACATATTCGCGTGAGTAGCTGAGTAAGCAAGAATCGCGTCTAGCAAGTAAGTGTTCACGATTTCAAGCCCTAGTGTGGTAGAGTTTACATTGGTCGTAGCTGCAGTGAGTAGTACGTCGGTGAAGGCATAATACTTAGCAATTGGACACAGGCCCACAAGGTTGCTACCACCTCCCTATTTCTTTTGCTTCCCTCACTTGTTTTTGCCCGTCACCGCGTCATGCGTATACCTGACTTCCCCTGAGTAGTTGATCATATCAAATATGTATATATATATGCATATATATATACATCGGATAATTCATAAATTCATTAGTTTGTCTCAGGCACTAGAACCGCTTATCATTTTCGAGGAAGCATACAATAAATTGAGTTTTAGCAATCAAATTTTATGGACTTGGCAGAGGACGAGATAGATATCTAGGCGCAAGTTGATTGCTTAGCTCTAAAATTTAATACACGACAGTTTATTAGAATTTTTGTATTACTTTCTAAAATTGAAGGTATGGTCAAGTTTTCGCCATCTTGGAGTATTAGAATAATTAGGACTGAATCAAAACAACATCTTAGGAGAGCTTAGTTTAAGATAAGCAATGGAAATCCCTTGAGTCTAATCTCATTAAACCTTTTTTAAAAATTCAGCGAAGGACGAAATATATAAATTTTATTCATTTGTAGACTAAATTTTGACATATATAATAAACATTTTTTTAGTTGATTACGCCAATCATGGGCCAACTTTGGTTTCTATGGTAGCGACTAAATATTTTGATATAAAAGTGATAGAGATTTCGTCTCTAAATATTCCGTAAAGGCTGTTTGTTAAGGGTAAAGAGATTGAATCCCCAAAGAGATTGGTCGCCACTAATAAGAAAGCCACGTGCAAAGACCTTATGCGAACTTAATGGCTCCCAGTTTTACTCATGTACACGTCTTAAGTGTGCTTTAAGATCAGTGGACCAAGATCAACTGCCAGTAACTCCATCAGGAAGTCTGATCAAAAGTTTGTTCCATCATTTAATATCATCCAACATTGCGCACAGCAGAAAAGGAAAAATCTGCCTATAAAGTAAGCTTTTAACTTGACACTCCGGAGCACGTGGAACTACGTAAGACTAAACTCTTGGGCTTCCGTAAGCGGAAGTCAATTCAACATTGTACAGAGATGTATATCAATTTTCTGAGTTTTGAAAAAGCCAAAAACTGCCAGATACTGTAGATGGCTAACTTGAGCCGATTACGACTATGCTTCAAAGAATTCAAAGTGTTACCAGTGGAATGAAACGGGACGGACTTGGTTTCTTGGTTATTTTTCTTTTCTTATAATGAAAATAAATATATAATCACAGGGAGAGAGCAAAAAAAAAAAAAAAAATGAATAAATTATTTAATAGCACTTTTGATTAAAGGTTTCTTTAATACGGAGCACAGTTTCTGCAAATGCCGTATATAATTTGATAATATGTTTGTTTATGAGCCAGTGTTTCATGAAAACTATTTTGTAAATATACGTGAAATTTCCAAGTTTTTGTTTGTTCTTCATGGAAAAATTTGAAATATGAAATTTGTTAAAAATACATACATGCATACGCGTATTAATAAAGGTACGCATATCTGTCTGTATGTACGTAATTCTAAGGAAAATACTAAATTTTAAACTTTCGCATAAAAAAAAAAAAAACAAAAGAAGTCGTTTAGCAACTGCTTTTAGAATTATTTTTCAAAATTTACTCACCGTTCACGTAACGGCATCAGTATGCCTGCACCTATACTGGATACCTTCATTGGTATCTTAACACTATCTGAATCGCTGCCACTTTCGGCTCCTGAACCACTACCGCCAGCGATATGATGATGTTGCTTCTGTTGCTGATGCTGTCGCTGTTTGTTACCGCTCCCACCGTTGCAAGCTGTTGTTGACGAAGACGAGGTGGCTGAACGTTTAACATTACGTTTCTCTGCCACAGACACAATTTTAGATGCTTTGTCGCCAGCTTTAACCAACAATGACATTGCTGTTGATTGTTGTTTTTGCTGTTTTTGCTGTTGTTGCATATCTGTACCATCGCTTTTAGCGCTTGCTGGCCGAGCATTTATCAAGTTGTGACCCATATTTTCAATTTCACTAAAATGCCCATCACCATCGATGCTAGCATTACTGCCGTCGCCGCCAATAAGGCCGACACCGCCGCTGCTGCAGCCATCCGAGGAAGTACCGGATAAATCCAATTGATAATCCGAACCGATAATAGCTTGAGAGCTGCTATGCGATTGCTGAAACGCGGTTGCGGTACGAGATGAAAATGAACAGGTGCCAAGACTGCCATTGCGTTTATGATTGGGTTGATATTGTCGCTGTTGCGTTGGTGTTTTCCCATAAAAATTTTGCTGCTGCTGCTGCTGCTGTTGTTGTTGTTGTTGTAATAAATCACCATTTGCTTGATATTGTTGACCGAATAATTCCAATTCCAAATTTGAAATGCTGACATTACTGTCAGAGAATCCATTAAAACCGATTCCTGCTCCGCTAACGCCGCCTCCCCCACGTAATGGTTGCGTTTTACCACTGGCAACACTTGCTGTTCTACGACGTTGTTGTAATCCCGTTGCCGTTGCGTTATAGGCTGCACCTGCTGCGCCACAGATGCCAATTGTTGCTCCAAGTTTAGTATCCCTATGTGTGCCATCTAATGATATATTCGATAGAAACGAGATCGCAGCCAATCTGCGCCTGTGTCTCGTTTTATTGAACGAACTACTTGCCATTAGGCAATAACGACTTTGCAAACAAAAACGTTTCACTCGATTATTGAGTTAAAAAGGAAGCGTGATCAGGACACTTACGTAAAGTGATTTTTATAGTCTTAGATACTTTACTCTTCTTCTTATTATGAACGTATTAAAACTAAAGTCAAAATAAACTCTCTTTTTTTCAAATATCCAAAAAAAAAAAAAAAAGAAAAGGGAAAACACAATAAACGATTTTTTCTCTCTTTCGTTTTACTAATCAAACGGTTCTCTTAATTAATTCATTAAAGTTGTTTAAAGTGAAAGTTTTGAATGAAAGAGAAGGAGAGCAATTGTTTCTTTTGCAAGGGTGGTAGGCAGTTTAACTGTCGCTATTCGACGGCGGCGGCGAACAATTGCGAAAACTATCTTTTAATATTCCATACCTTTATTAGTTATTTTAACTTTGATTTTTTTTTTTTAATTTTTTTTTTTATCTATAGATGTTCACTCTAACAGGTTTTTCGTTTTAAAAAGAAAAAATGAACTAAAATTTCCTTGGTTCCGGTTTTTTTTGATCGCACAAATTTTCTTCCCTTTTTACTTATTTTTTTTTTATTTGTTTTTTTTTTTTTTTTTTTTTTTTTTGACTTGACGTAAAACGGTTTCACAGCATTAGAAACATCCAAGTTTCGTTGCCCGTCTTCTAAACTTTTTTTTTCTTATTACAATCTCTTTAATAAGAAACCTTCTTCTGTTTGACTTTGTTTAAAATTCATTCATCAAGTCGTGCATATATAGAAGAAGTAAATCGTTCTTTAAGAAAATTTATTGAGATGAAAAAAATATACTTTTCAACCAATATCACATAAACTTTTTAGTCTTTAGATTACCATTTAAAAGGCAATACAATAAATTACTTAAGCGCGACATTTTGAAAGAGTTTTTTTTTCTTTTTTACTTTTTACGCGAAGGAAATAAATCAAAATACAACAATTTACGAATATGAATATATATATAAAAAACTAAAGGATTTTTTTGCTTTTTGTTATTTTTGCTTTTTTTTTTTTCTTAAAATTTTAAATTGCGGCACTTGCTATGAACCGTTGCAACTGTTCGACAGCAGGTTTTAATATGTAATGCCGGAAAATTCTGGAAATATAGACAATATAAGAAAGTATGAGATACACACAGAGAACTGAGAAGGCGAACGTAACGCAACGCAATGCAATAATAAACAGCGTATTAGAAGGAAAATCAATGATGGAAAAGAAATGAAAGAGCAAATGAATAAAAAAAAAAAAAAAAAAAACAACAACAACAAAAAAAGCTGTTGAGAAGTGTGTACTGAGATTTGTGATGGCAAATAAAATGAATGATTTGGTAGAATACCAACAACAACAACAACAACAACAACAACAACAACAATTACAAAGGAGAAAAAGGCGTTAAATCGATGTAATGTAAACAATCATGTAAGCGCGAACATACAACTGTGAACTGACCGCTCTTGTAAATGCATGAATTGAGAGCGAGACAGAGGGAGAGAGAGAGAGAGACAGAAACTCTCTCCTCTCTTACTAACATGGAAGCTAAAAGCTTTACTAATATTCTTTTTAGAAATATTATTAAAAAAATTTTTGAAACAAATCTCTAGTGACACAAAACACGCTACAATCTCGTTATTTAAAAAAAAAAAAATTATATATATAAATAAAACTTTTTTTAGGCTTCTCATCGTAATCAACTTGTATTTTAATGCGTTACTCTCTTTGTTTTTTTATCTAATAGGTTTATTTGCATTCACTTCATACACACACACGCAGACAGCATCTCCATAGCAAAAGTGCTGCAATGCGCACTGCATACATTACAGAAGAGAAACAGCAAAGCAAGCAAAGATAAAAAGTACTTT